GGATCAAAACCAGGCATGCGATGGCCGGGAATCGAACCCGGGTCAAATGCTTGGAAGGCAGCTATGCTCGCCACTATACCACCATCGCTTACAATCGGTGCAAAGCTGCATATAACAGTCGCCAGTACTTGGTTTTTCTTAAAAAGTGAAAGTGGGCCAGTCGGTGTCGGGCGTAGTTGTTATAGGCCGGTCTGTCGTTTGACATTTGACGAAATGACGTTTACAAGACAACCTTACACATTCCAATCACATGAAGGTACGTCCTCTTTTGCAAAGGACGCCTTTAACGTTTTGAGAGGACGCCGAATGGGCGTTTTGATGTCACATCAAAAAGGTCCTCAAATTCCGCGTGAAAAGAGGCCTGGAAGGCACCTAGATGACTATGAAATTGGCGTCATGTGTTTTACATTATCCTTTGATGACATCCTCCTGCCATCGCATCTTAAAATTGCGCCAATCTAGAACGTTACGTTACGTTGAAGGGAACGGTTCGACTTTGAAGATATTGAAGCAAGCATTATACACGACGAGACTCAATGCGTCCAGGTTTTATTAATTACGCAATCGTACCTCGCACAACAATGATTGAGAAGTAATTGACCGCCGTTATCTCTGGAAGTCATGCTCACGAACACCAGATATGGACGGCCATGTGCGCTAATCAGGGGCCCCTGAGTCGAAAAGGGTCCATTTGTCGGTCAGACACCACCAATTAAATATAGTCGTCACCGTGTCGGCATGGCCTGGTGGCCCATTCCCCAAGCAGGAACAAAGCAGTAGCCGGCAATTTGCATTGTTCGGGGCCCCAGCGTCTGTCAGGGGCCCCACAGTGCCTGAGAAGGGGTCCTGTGTTGGCAAGGAGCCCGAGTAGGCCAGAGCCAGTGTTTGAGCAGGCTTCAAGAACCTGGAGGGCCCACTGGGACCACTGGCCCACTGAGGACTCACTGGGCCCACTGGGACCGGCGATCAAGGGCCCGATTAGTTGGGCTTAATAGCACGAAGTGCTGGTTGGGTCTCATGCAGGGATTTCAGGGATTCAGGGATCATTCAGGATCTCATATGCTTGCAGGGATGGCCCTCAAGTGACAGTCAGACGGCACTTTGCGCCGATCGGGGACTCCGTATCGACATGGGCCTATATGTCGGTCAGGCACCATCAGCAGTGCATTGTCAGCTCCGTGTCCATACGGGCCGGGGGTCAACTTCCCAATCAGGTACAAAGCCGGGCCAGCGATTTGCATTGGTCGGGGTTTTGCATTGCGATTTGTATCTGTCAGGGCCAGCAGGGCCTAATAAAGAGTTCTGTGTTCGCAAAGGGCCCCGAGCCGAACGAGGGCAGTGTTGCATGACGTCCGAGGAGGGGCACTGGGGCCTAGCGGAGCAAATGATCAAGGGCTCAGTTGGAGGACATGAAGGCCTGAAGGGTTGGATCTAGGTTACGTAGGGAACTCCGGCCCAAAGGACCGTAACCTAAAATATCAGTCAGAGGTCCTCTGCACTGTTTGAAGACCCCTGAAACAATGCCGGTGTCTCGGTCGGCCGAACAGTTAGCTCGCTGTCAGACAAAACAGACAGACAGACAGACAGATAGGACTTTGGGTGCCCATTTCCCTGGAAGGGACAAGGCCAGGTTGGTGATTTGCATTGGCCGGGCCTGCTGCAACAATGCTGGGCTTCTGCAACGGTCAGGGGCCCAGTGCTTAACAAGATGTGTTATGCCAGCAAGGGCCGGTCAAGCCTCAATTCAGTCAAGGGATCATTTGGTCAACATAGACGGGGACGGGATCTCGAATGACAGAGGACCTCTTGCGTTGGACGGGACCCTCTGACAAAAAGGAGAAAATATTAAAGCTTATGATGAGTGTTCACGTTGAGACAATGGAAGTGCCCTGTGCCCGTCGAGGCCCGCAGTGCCGGACGGAGGGCCCTCCAGCCCAGTTCCCGCAGGAGCCCGTTAAACCGAAGCCCGAGGGCTTTCCGCGTCAGGAAGAGACCCATGTAATATGATGTATCCCTTTAAGGGCCTCCGGATCGACCAGGGGTCCCGCCCTGTGTCGTCAGAATGGCGGGCGGAAGACACGGTACGACGGCCCTCCAGCTCCTGACCGGAAACAAAAATGTGCCCCTTAGTGCTCTACTCAAAACACCCCTTGCTCGGAAATAATGGGTCCTATCAGTATTGAAGAGAGTTGGCGACATGAGGTTAAATACCAGCATTGTCATCCCATGTTTGCCTGAAAACGTTCATTCTTTTGCATCATCAGTTAGTGGAGCAACTTACGCCAAAAGCTTTGAGCCTGCGCGCTCCAAATCTCGCGAGGAAGGGCAGCGGTGGTCTGTGTTACAGTTTCCGGAAAGCCATATGGCGTTGGCCTCTGTAACACCACGCGCCCTGCGCGAGAACGGCCGTCTTAAAATGGTGGTCCCGAGTGCGTTTCAAAATTAATTCGCACCGTTCACAGAAACGAATGGGCGTTTTTTTAGCTTTGAAGTTGTTCTCGGAACAGATGAACAGTTACAGCAACACAAAAAAAAAACTGAGGATGACTGTATCAGTTACGTCACCAGATCCAAGCCAGCGCCACTTCGCGGCGGGATAAATGCCAATGCATTATTGACCCCAAGCTAAGAAATTGCGCAGGTGAAATATGCGCCTGGACGACCTTCTAAAAGTGCGATTTAATGTCCTAAAGCGTTCAGAAGTACGTCTTTCATATGCGTCAAAATTTTCCTCCGCCCAATGGCCACGCCTTTTATATTAGTCACAGGACCGCCCCTGCAGGGCCTTTTTTCTAAGACCTGCTAGCGCGCGTGTTCAAAACAACACACAAAACGCAGTTATGAAGAAGCTTCATAGCTCCTTCTGAACCTCTATCGGTTTAGGAGACGACTGGACAATTGCAAAATGGGGAACACAGGCGATGTATTTCATGCAGTTGTTTTACGCATGATTTTTTAAGTTTATGGAGTATATATTTCAGTCAGAAATCCCCTCGCGGTAGCTTGTGGCTTCTGTTCAAGTTATACAAGGAAAATTAGAACGTAAACGAAAATCATGCTCTCAGTAAGAAATGTGCCATGCTGACAATTCTTTTTTGGGGTGGGGGGGGGGGGGGGGGGGTGAGGGGGCCTTCTCACTATCAGCGGTCCTTTGTCAGCCCTGTGCCCACCGCCCTTGCCAAGTGTCTGGCTGCGCGAATGCCGAGTTATCTTGAAATTGACTCTCCGAAATAGGCTGCACGTCTTCGCAGGCGTACAGCTTAACAGGAGGCCTTAGGTAGGGCTGTAAACTGCGTCGAATGATCTTCAATGTCTTTTTTGTTTAAGCCCCCATAAAATGTGAAACGCCCCCTTTAAAGGTATAATAACTGCTATAAGTAGGCTTACTTCTTCATATCTGATTCTTGCTCCAATGTCTTCAACTGTGTAGCATTCCCTTCAAAAGGGTGTCAATAGTAACAAGCAAGCTTTTCAGCTTATCTGATGCTTGATTCAATGACTCCAAACGTGGAGTATTCCCTGTAAGCCCTGGGATTTCTATGCTTGACAGCCGCGAACTTGTGCGAACTATTTCGTGTTAACTATTTCAAGGTCACCAGGCATGCACGTCCCCATGGAAAATCCACACGAATACTACCATCTCATTGGCCATGTGATGGTCAAGGCCAAGGACATGCCTGATGATCGGGCTATCCGTGTCTCGTGTACGTCAGCACAATTTCTGGCATCAACGCACTTAAGCTGGCCCTCAGTCAATACAACGCATACAGTGCAAGTTTTAAACAAAACATGTTTTTTGTGATTTCATTTTAGCACTTTCGACCACTGATGACCTCTTCTACTGGTCGAAAATACATCCCCATTATGCTACTTTTGCATCAGCAAAGTCATCCATCAGTGTTATGTGCGCGCTCGTTATGTTATGAAATATATGTAAATCGTGAGCACCGACTCGTAAAATTCTTTCGAAAATGTCAGACACGCGCCAAACAAAGAACGTGCTAAACTACAGCATGAACTGCTGTGGTCTGTCGTTCGCATCACCTCCATTTTCGATCGATCCCATGCCCTCCCGTGAGTCCTGCCGGCCTCAACGGTGCCGGAGACAAGCGGGGTTGGGTAGCCGGTGTCGCCACGTCTGCTCTAGCCTAGGTTTCGTGCTATCCCCCCCCCCCCCCCCATCCGGCAGGTGACTCCCAGGTCGCTCGAGAGGAGGGGCAGGCGGCTGTCACAGACGGCGACACCCCGTAGCGTTACTCGACACCACACACTGTGTTAACCGGACTCCTACGCTTCGAAGATGTCGCAGCGCAGCGCGCAAAAACGCGCCGTGTGTAACCGGAGACCATCGCTGAAGGGCGGTTGTGAGGCTCTTAGAAGATAAAAAAGATACGCATCCAAAAAGACCGCGTACTGAGCACGATGTATGCGCCATTCTGCGAATGAAGTTCTCGTTATTGTTATTACCTATACACTATCTCTTCTTGTCAGCGAAGAATGCATTGCTCATATATATTCACCGATTGGCGGAATAGTTCACGCGTTTTGAGCTCGTTGTGTTGTGTTGCAAGGAAGTCAAAAGGGATGTCCAATCCATGGCAAACGAGCGTTCCAAATAGGGCGTTTCCCGTTGCTCGACCCATATTTTAAGTTTTGAAGTCCTCAATCAACTTTTGAAGCAATCTGAGAATAGGCAACACACGAACGAAGGCAGCAAATACGTGCTACATACACCGAGAACAGGCAATGAATTGATATTAATTGCGGGGTGTCTTCAAAGCTTGAATAAGGAAGTGCCACCATGTCCGAATAATTGCCACAAGTTGCCAAAAGTTCCACCTTAAACTAATCAGAGCAGTCGGAAGGAGCTGGGAGATTTGTACGGACGATGTTAGCCTGATCAGAACAGAACAGCTGTTTTCCATCCCTACAGAAGAAGCTGCCCGGTAGGCACACACGATCCAGACAAACCGGCTTCCCGCCACGCACGGCACACGTGCCCGCCACGATGTTTGGAGCAGGAGGGCACTTGAAGCCAGCACACGGATCGGGGAAGGCGGGGGCGGTGCAGTTACGTCCCCCTCTGGACGCGCCCGGACAGCAGAGCAGGTTGGATGCGCAGTCGTTGTCGTACTGGCAGAGGTTGACGTTGGCCTGGGACACCTGCTCCGGCGGCGGACAGAAGCCGGGCTTGGGCTTGGCCCGTGGCTGGCAGCTGAAAGAGTAGCGGCAGCGAGGGAAGTCGGAGCAGGTCGGGTTGGAGCCGGGTACCACGGTTGTCACACAGGTTGTTCCAGCGCGGCAGAACATGAGGGCACACTGGTTCTGGATGCACACCGGCACTGGGTAGCAGGGCGCGCGCACGCAGGCGATCTGCCGCAGCACGCAGGTCTGCAGATCATCGCAGCGGATGTCCTGACAGCTGGGGGGACGCTCCACTACGGGAGCTGACGACTTGACGCACATCTGGCGGTAGCTGAGGCAGAAGCCACGGTGGCACCGGCGACGCAGTTCACACTGCTGACCCTTTGGGCATATCTTCACACACTTGACACCTTTAAACGCCGAGACGGGCTCTGGGAGTAAAGCAAGCACCATCACCCCTTTCGCAGATGATGCCGCTGATCAGAGGGTCGCGTTTTCATATTTTGTTGTCACTATTGGCCAGAGAACCATGGAAACTGCCCTCTCCCTGAGGTGCATCATGCCAGAAATGGACAGAAACAATGGTACTAAACGTTCTTAAAACATTTGTCCTTCTCCTTGCCCCCCCCCCCCCCCGCCTGCATGTGCTCACACCATCATGCAATACCAAAGGGCTCTGGATGGACTATCGTTTACACAGTTTAAAACGAACTGTCCACTGATCAGGCATTCGAAAAGCATTGGAGAACAACTGCTTGGAAGCAAGAAATATTGATGGTAACGTACCGGGTGCCTGCAGTTGGACCACACAGAGTAGTACGACGAAGAAGACCGGTTGGTGACCACCCCATGATGTTGCTCGCTGCACAAGTGGACGCGGAGTGGTACGCGGCTAGGAAGGGCAGTCAGTGACCTTTGCGCAGCCATCTGCCATGCGACAGCGGCCCCTCGTAATGACGCGTCATTTGCGCGACAAGTGACCTTTGTGTTGCAGGAAGGTTGGCCGAAGTTGGGGTCTGCGCTGCCTGCACTCGATAGGGCACTCATCCAATCACCCCGCCTACATGTCAAGCTGATGAAAGTCGGGTATGCTCGTGTATGCGGCTGTATGCTCGAGAATAAAATACGTTTCTCATTTAAAGCAAATAAGCACACAAGCTGCGCATAGAAATCACTAAGAAAAATAGAAAGCCGCGGGTAATAATCTTTACCTTCGTTTCCATGGTAATTAGCAATTTTTAGATAACAGCTCGTAATTTCTGAGTCCCATTCTGTATCCTAAAGTAGAACTACTAATGCGCCGCAAACAGCAAGCTTCTTCAGAACGGTTAGTATCTCCACTTTAATCTGTGAAAACTTGAATCTGTGTACACATTTATTTTGATTGACGGAATAACTAGAAACCTTGGACTCCGTAGTGCTCCATATGCTTTTGCCAGCGTCTGGTTATTTAGCATTACAAACGCTTCAAAACGACGGGTGAACAGCAGTTGCACTTGGTTCCAATGAAAACAGACACCGGCGTGTTAATGCTGACAATATATTCTACATCTGCAATGCATCCTTAATTTATCAAATATCTCACTCAAAATAGCAAATAGGAAAAAAACTCAACACCCGGAAGCCGCTGGCACGTCTGTACAAACTATTTGGCTCTTCGAGAACGAAGCACTGTTTCCCGCCGGTTGCAGTGGTGGAAGTTCCCGGGTGTGCACACCCGATCAAACAAGCACCCGCGACAAGTTGGTGCATGCGGGGGGCACTTCTTGTTGGCGCAGGTCGGGGA